TTTCCAGCGATGGTACCTTTTAGCCGGAGATAAATAGGAGCCTTGAGTGCTTTTAAAGCCTGTCCAATACTTGGGCTGAAAATGGAGTTAATCTTCCCACGAAGGTCCTCCTCCTTCCTTGACATCAGTAGATGAAAAGATTAAGAAAAAGAATTTGACCTTTTAAACAAATTATAGACCATTAACTCCACCCCATTAGCTTTTAGAGTGGGAGCCGAAACATGGCAAACGTCGACTAGCAGGCCGGCACGAAACATGGTAGATACAGATATGCTTTCGGAGAGTAATATTTCTTTCTACGATGCAGTATTTAGTCTCCTGTAGTTTTGAAAAGCTGCGGACTATGGATATAGCCAACTTCCCAAACCAGGGACTTTCTGTGCTTATAGATGACTGGTGATGATCTCAACAAACATACGCGCATTCTTAGCCTTTCATTGCAATAGTCAACTGATATGATAACATGTAACTGTTTTTTATAGAAAGCTCGAATTGATACGCCCGACTGTCGTTTGAATCCTGTCAGTGACAGTTTCAGTTCTGCGACTGGTGCAATGGTCAGCGAGGCGCCGGTGGACCCTTTCGCGATTGCCGGGGCGAATACTGACGCGTCGCTGATTCATTTGAGTTCGTTGGACAGCCGTGATGGGGGCTTCGTGGCTAATTACGACCCCCAACAGCGACCGCCGCCATTGCTGATGCATATGCAGCGTTCGGAAGCGCTTCGGCAGATGCCAACGCTTTTTAGCTCTCCTTGCGTTAGGCCGTTACCCCCTCCGCCACCACCGCCCTATTTTGCAAACAGCGTAATATCGCCGCTGACAAACGCCTTTTCAACCCCTGATCCGGTCGATCCGGCAGTCGTACCTTCATCTATAGACATGGCTTACTGCCCCCCAGCTTTTGGACATGGAGATTTTGACATGAGAAGAATGATGCCGAGTGCTGTCGAACCTCTGGCTCCGCCTTCTATGTCATCACCGTCTTCACCTTTGCTCGCCTCTCAGGAATGGTCGACAACGATGTGGCAGCCGATGGCACGCCCCGCCAGAATCGCCGGGTTGTTGCCGAAGACCTTTCCACTTGTGGACGATGAATTTGTGAATATGAGGTGCAGTAGACGGGAAAGAACGCTCTTGAGTACACCTTGTGCAAGCCCTTCTTCGAACCTCCACAACCACGAAGGTATTCCACAGCCTATTCGAACATCGTCACGACCTGCTCTGTTACCAGTGGAACCAAACGGCCATACTTCCACGCAACCTGACCGGGTAGCTGATGACAATAACGATGTGATGGAAAGCTTTCCTTACTAACAGCTACAGTTTTATCCTATTTCTTAAATGTACAGTTTAATGTTTAAAGTGAAATCTGTAATGTGTTAAATTCGCATTGGCAACTGTCGTACATACAGTAAAGTATTTTTTTATAGCAAAGCATAAATCATTTTAAAAGTGCACACTTTCTTTGGCAGTGGGCAGATGAAGAACATGTGTGGTGGAAGCGCTAGACCCCAAAGTTAAGCATTTGAAAAATTCTGTGCTTGTGTCTAAAGAAATAGACGGAGACATGTCTGACAGTTCTAAGCACGAATTTCTAGCGCTGCTGCACTGCATTTTCTGTTGCTCTGTTCGGATCGGCAGCAAGTATAGATAATCAGGAATCGGCAACGTTGTATCACTATACGGAAATGCGGATGTCAGCCGATGACTAAGCTCTTCGGTTGTGGCGGCGTTGAGGAGAAAAGTTTTAAATCGCCTCAGTATTCGGCTCCGCTTCGACTTCTCGTCGTTCTTCAGGAACTTTTCTGTGAGGTATTCAATTTCGCTCAATAAGCTGCATATGTCGAAGGTGAGCAAGTTGATGCGCAGGTCTGCCTGAATGGTGCCACCATACGCCACCTGAGCCGGGGCCGCCCATCGCAAGTAAGCCAGGTGCCAAAACACAAGTAGTGTTGTACAGTGACTCGGTACAAGTGGTGTCCGCAGCGTGGTGTAATCGGCAGCCAGAGAGTTGGTCGCCAGCTGGTGAAGACCCTTACTGAAACAGAACAGCGTATTCTGAAACAGCTTCCGGTACTCGTTCGAATAGAAGTCGGTCCACGGCTCGTCGATGTCTTCGTCGACTGTCGCACCTTTGGTACGCGACGGCCGGTCACACAGACTGTTCATGCAAAACGCGGCCGACGTTCCGCTCAGCGACAAGTCCCAAAGCGCCACCAGATAAAACTGAGTGAGTTCGAATTCGGCAGGAAACTGTACAGTTAGCTGAAAGACGCAGTCGAGAAACAGCAGGAACGATGGGACCTGCAAGTGAAACGGAAAGGTGATGTTAATCCGTTTCGGCTGACAGGCGTTAGAACACAAAATAGTACTTACGATGTCACAGTCGCGACGAGAGTGTTTCGACACGCCATGCAATCGCATGGCGAATGGGTGAGCAAAGCTGATCCATTCCTTCCTGACCAAAACCTCAAAACCGTCCAGTGTCCTGAAGTATGGGTCACAGCACAGCTGCACAAGGCCAGACAAAATACAACTGACGTCGCGATTGGCGAA